TGTGCTCAATTCCCTAATAAAAATCATATGAGCAGTCAGGAGAGAGGTCAATTGCTGAAATTCTTTTCTAGAAAACAGCAGATGATTCCTTTGTGTTTGAGATTCAAATACTGAAGGCAAAATCTAATCTGTTCTTTTTTTCTCAAGTACAAATCTTTTGGAGGTGATGCCACATTAACAGCTTTGTTTGGCAAGTGGATTGTCAGGAGAAAATTGTAGGCTTTAAAATCAATTATTTGTTAGCTGTTTTTATGTAAATAGATACTTGATGTTTCTCTACAAAATTAATTTGCTTTTTGCCTTTAGTGTTGCTGCTGCTGCATGTTACTCTGTTAATTAGTATATACAGTAAGAATAATTGATTTTCACTGCTTTGCTTCCCTCAAACTGTTCCCCAAGTCTCTTTATGGAGCATTAGTGAGTTCCAGGCAAAGTAACAAATCCATCTTTTTCTCCAGAAAACTTGTGGCAGGGTAGAAGTTTTGAACCAAACCTCTTGTTTTTGATCTCTCATAGCACCACTGCAAAAAGTCAATGTAGGAATAAATAGGCTTTGCCTGTTGATTGAGTTTGATAGTGTTGATGTCTTCCTTAAGGAGTTAAGTCACAGTTAAGTCTTTCCCCAGAACACATGACATGGGCAATAAAACATTCACAGCCACTGCCAGTGCTTTCAGCAGTCTCAGTGCTTTATTGATCCTGATTCCTGTCCCATTCCCAGGTAATTTTTACGGCACTCCGAAGCCTCCGGCAGAGCCCAGTCCCTTCCAGCCTGATCCAGTGGATCAAGTCCTTTTTGACAATGATTTTGATACTGAATCGCAGAGGAAAAGAACCACATCCGTCAGCAAAATGCAAAGGATGGAAAGTTCTCTCCCTGAAGAGGAGGAAGAGGAGGAGAAGGAAGCAGTTAATGGCAGCGGAGGGATAGGTTGGTTGACAAGGGGAGAAATTCCCTCAAGTCTTGTCTGAATGGCTACGGAGGATACAAATAACATTCATGCTTGCTTAGTTCTGGTGAAGTTTGAAGGCAGTTTGTGTTCAGGCTGGTGCTTCTCCTCGATTTGGAGATGATCTTTTAAAAAGAACCAGCTGTTCTCCCAGCCAGATGTGCAATTGCATCATAAAATGCACTGCTCAGTGGAGAACATGTGGTGCTGGGGCTCAGCCAGTTACATGAGCAGGAAGGAAAAATTTATCCACTCTCAAATAACAGATTCCTTTGCAGAGCAGAATTCATACCCTGTAAATGTTACTGCTTAATTTGAGGCGATTACAGGAGTTGTGTGCAGGAGATTTGGGGGAAGTGATTGGTTTAAGGGGCAGCACTAGCTCAGACTGTAAAATTTTCAGATGATTTTGGTTTGGGGACTATCACACAACCTGAAACCACCCGAGGGGAAGCTTGAGGAGAGGAATAAAGCCAAGTGTGTTGGGGCTGGAGCAGTGTCCAGCCAGACCTCTCTGAGATTGGCAGGATGCCCTTTTCCTTTGGCTGTCATGGTTACTCATCTCGAGGGGGAAGAACTGATGGTGGAGAGAAGCTGTCACATTGCATTTGCAGATGATCCTGTGTGTGAGTGTTTAAGACAGACTTGTACTGACCAGACCTGACCTAATCTTGCCAGCTTCAGGGCTGGCAACACCACAGAGTGGCCTGGTGGCCTGGCTGGTGGTCGGGTGAAGGTCATGGACATCATCATGTCACGGAGAGTAGTGATCATAACCTCAGCACTCAGGGGTGGAGGTTTCCACTTAAAGGTTTCTGCAGGGATTTTTTTGGGAGCTTGTTCTTGTTGTGCCTTGTAGGAGGGTGTTGTTTGTTTTACTGGCAGCTTGGGTCTTCCCTGCATTTCTTTCTGGTGCTTTGAGGAATATTGGTAGGATTTTTGGGGTTGTTTTATGGCATTGCAAACACTGTTCTCTCTGTAGGAACAGCAACAAAGTCAGGCTGGAGTTCTGCCAGCGTTGATTTTTCAGGGTAGGCTCAGACACATAATACAAGGTTAATTCTGTTTGGCAAGGGAAGAGCAGAGTTCAGTGTTTTCATGTCAGCTTTTCAAAGTTCACAGCTGAAAAAAAAAAAAAGTGGAAAAATGCACATCACACACAGGGACGTGTTTGACATCCACTCGTAGCCAGATTCAGAGGGTGGTTCTTTGTGAGAAACAGCATAAGCATCTGACAAATTGTAACACTTTCCCTGAACAACTGCAGAAAACAAAGAAAAACATTCAGATTCTCCTGACTGGATGAAACCTGTTCCCAGCTACAACCAGACCAGCAGCAACATGGACTTCAGGAACTATTTGTCAAGGGATGAGACTCTGGAACCTTTGCCCAAGAACTGGGAGATGGCCTACACAGACACTGGCATGATCTACTTCATTGAGTGAGTACACCCACACCAGGCAGGCTCTGCTGTGCCCTTGGAGTAGGGAAGTGCTGCTGGGCTGCAGCCTGCTCTGCTGCCTGCTGATCTTGCTGCTCTTACTGCTTCTATTTCTTTATGAAATTTAGCATATTTACTGTTCCCTTCCTTACTGGTAGTCATCAATGTTCCACCTGCAAAATCACTTTGCTTGTGATGAGTTTTGTCTCTCACAAAGTGCAAAGCTGGGTGGGTATTGCTGAGTGAAGGAGAACATAGAAACCTTCAGTATTTAGAGTTTCATATGTTAAGGGGTTGGGATGGAGCTTAGAGATCATCCAGCCCCAACCCCCTGCCCTGGGCAGGGATATTTCCCTACTAAAACAGATTGCTCAAGGCTTTATCCAACCTGGCTTTGAACACTGCCAGGGTTGGGGCAGCCACAGCCTCCCTGGGCAACCTGTGCCAGTGTCTCACCACCCTCACAGGGAAAAAACTCTTTAATATCTAATCTAAATTTCTCCTCTTTCAATGTATACCTATTACTCCTTGTCCTATCACTGCAGTTCCTAACTCTGTCGTATTTCTCTGCACTGTGAGACCTAGTTTATTCTTTCTTCTCTGCTCATGCCCCTTGGCTGGGAATGCATGTTTGAAAATACAAATAGCCCCGATGAAAGTCCAGGATAGGAAAAGAGCTCGTGTGCACGTGTGGAGCTGCTTCCTTTATGACTTCTAAGGCAAAAATGAAACAGGAACCAGCCTGAGAGTTAAGCATATGAGGAGGCTAAAAATATTTTTTCTTTTCAGGTAGAAACAGCTGTTTTTTCACATGAGCTTTTTGGAGGCAGGAAAGAGGGTTTGTACCTCTAACACTTCCCACGTGTCCTGGAGAGTCTCCAATGTGTTGGTGCCTCTGAGCATCACTGTTGCCTTTTCTTCTGAGCATTTTATGATGTGACTGAGGCACAAATACATGTTATTTGAACGCTACAGTTTCCCTATGGGAATAAATACTTGAAGTAAAGCAAAGTTTCTTCAGTCTGAGGAAGTTGTCTTCTTTTAATGGCACATGTTCTGCTCCACAGCCACAACACCAAGACGACCACGTGGCTTGATCCACGGCTCTGTAAGAAGGCCAAAGCTCCTGAAGATTGTGAAGATGGAGGTAAGATGTTCAGAATTCATTTGCCACCTGTCACAGATAAATGTCTGAGTTTATCTCAGCTGGATACAATCCATTACTGCTGTGGTAAAAGCTTCATGCTGGTAGAGGTGACTCTGGAGCAGGGAGTGGAGGGCTGAGCATCCCTAGTTCGGTGGCAATAGGAGTTTACATAAGACTGGGAAAGTCCATAGTGTATTGTCCCTGGAGTAGTAGAATCTGGCTGAATCCAGGGTTTATCTGCATTCCTGAGCAGGGAATGAGATGTTTTCTTCCAGTGACTGTCACTGCACAGGAGTGAAGATGTCAGTGCAAACTCTTGTGCTGGTGAGATGTGGCAGGGGGAGAAGGCCCAAAAGTATCGGAATGGAGAACTAATAAAGAGGATATGGCATAATAGATATTGCTGATTATAACTATTGCATGTGACATGATTTGAGTGCAGAACTAGAGGGAACAGTCTGGCTCCCTTCAACACCTCACGCTGTTGCTTCAGGACTTACAGGTCAAGCTCACAACTGGCTGCAGGCAACTCCTGCAGCCATTTCCTACAGAGTCAGGCAATTTAGTCAGCTAGAAAAGAGTATCAGATAGCTCTGTCTTCAGCAAATGCCTGAAATATTCCAAAAGCTGAGGCAGGCTCAGAGTAGCCTGTCCCCTTCCAAGATTGCCCAGCCATGGTCAAGATAACTAGAAGAGTAAACTGGAGTAGTCTGAGCTCTGTGGTAACTTAGCCCCTTCAGGCACTCAGGACCTGCTGAGCACTGTCTTACCACTAAAAAAAGCTTTGTGCATGTAACTTTCAGTACGTATATCAAACAGGTCTTTAAGTTTATTATACATCTAAAGTGGTGTGATTTTATTGAATACAAGTCTCATCATCTGGTGGAACAGAGAGTGAGAGTTGCAGAGCTTCAGATTCCCTGGAACAGGCTGATATCCTTCATCAGGGAAGAAAACAGGGCCTGTATTTTCCTCATCTTTAAGGACTCTATAACCTGTCCTTGTGTTCCTTTATAAAAACTCTGCTATTTGCAGGTAGTTTTCCACTGTAATGGAGAATTTGCTCTTTCTGATTGCAGAGCTTCCATATGGATGGGAGAAAATAGAAGACCCTCAATATGGAACATATTATGTCGAGTAAGTGCTAATTATTGATTTGGCAGAACTATAAATTGAGCAGGAAATAATGAAGTGCTTGAATCAGAGTAAGTATAGGCTGTAATGCAATGAAAGACCAGTCTGGATGGGGCTTGGAGCAACCTGGGCTAGTGGAAGGTGTCCCTGCCCTTGGCAGGGGGTGGAACTGGGTGAGCTTTAAGGTCTCTTCCAATCCCAACTCTATGAAGGTATTAAATATGTCCAGCAGAAACAGTTCTGGGGGCAGTGAACACATGGCACAGAATTCTGCAGCACTGGCATGTGGAACAATCTATGGTGTGACCCTACCAACTTACTGGAGTGTGTTTCATTTGGGGAGGAAAACCAAGCAGCAACCAAAGTAATTTATTAATGGCAATGAGCTGATGTCCTTTTTCCTAGCTTTATCAAAAACTGGGTCACTTGATTTAAGAGTGGCACCTGATAACTGTAAAAGAGCAAAAATAACTTCTAGCTCATTGCTGTCTCCAAAGAGCCAAGTAAATAACCACTAAACTGCTGTGAGAGCTCTTTGAATCTCCTTCAGGCCAGAGGAAATTAAATCTCTCTTTAGCTGTGGAGAGGAAAATTGGTAGAGTTGAAAATTTTACCTTCAGAGAACAAGGTAACATTTTGACTTTGCAAAGCCAAAGTACTAAAATTGTGCTCAAACTGACAGGGTTTTTTCCCCACTCTGCTGTTCTGCTCTAACATCTGCTAGTATAAAGGCAATGCCTGAGTTTGTAAACATTACAGGTAGATGGGTCAAGAGAAAAATCAGGTTTGCTCAGTTCTAAACTCTTACTACTCTACCTGGTAATTACAGGGAGTAAAATTGTATTGGCCCTTAAAGTAAATCAAGTTGTTGAAAGAACAAACACGTCTCAGTGTTGATTATGAGAGTTTATTGTTCATTGCTGCAGAGCATTCACCTGAGAGAATAAACATGGTGTTTGTAAATATTTCTTGTGGGGTTGGCTGTATTGGCAGATAGGATGTTTTCTGCTGAAATCGTGACCTACCTTTTGTATCTCTGCAGTCACATTAACCAGAAAACTCAGTTTGAAAACCCAGTATTGGAAGCCAAAAGGAAAAAGCAGCTCGGACAGACTGATGCTGGCACTTCCAAACCAGGTAGCTCTGAAGGTTCTGTTCTCTGGCACATCTTTTCCTGCAGATGTTCACCAAGCCTTGTCTTTTTGCTGGTCATTGCAGTGTTGCCCTCTCAGATATGTAGGTTGTTTGAATTGGTTTTTCATGTTAAAACTGACTGGAGACACAAAGTCTGCTTTTAAATCATTTTTCATTGTCCTGAAGTTGGTTGTCATAAACAGCTCTGGGATATATGGAGGGTTAGAAGTCCCACCTGGAAGATGCAGGTCAAGCCACACCTTGTTTTTATGTTTCACATCAACTTTAAGCTTGGTGTTCAAGGATTAAGAGTGAGGGGAGGTTTAGATCCAGCTCTGTTGTACCAAAAACCCCTTAAGTTCCCCATTCCCTGCCTTCAGCTGGGGGCTGAGTGCAGCTCTGCCCTGTTTGCTGCAGAGGAACAAATCATTAACCTTTGTGTCACCTTAAAAACAAACCAAACCCATCCCAGAACTAACCCTGGTTTCCTGCCTTCCTGTCTCTCTGTTCCATAACACAAAAGGACCAGGGAAGTCTGTCTTCACTCGTGACCCATCCCAGCTCACTGGAGCACTTATAAGGACATCCCTGAAAAAAAGCACCATGGGATTTGGCTTTACAATCATCGGAGGGGACAGGCCTGATGAGTTTCTCCAGGTGAAGAATGTGTTAAAAGATGGACCTGCTGCACAAGATGGGAGAATTGCTCCAGGTCAAGTATTATTTCTCCAAACTTCCATTTCCTGGGGTGCTTTAGAGAACACAGCATGAGGCACAGAGGAGATTGGATGACTCCAGCCACAGCCTCACTCAGTGAAATAGTTCTCAGAGTTGTGGAAGATCTGTGCAGAGCAGTGGCTGAAAAATCTACTTTGAGGACACTTCTGAAGATTTCAGAACTGCTTTAGCTAAGAGTTTTGGCTTCATGGTTGCTCACAGAATGGGTTTTGTTCCCTCTCTATACAGAAAGTATAAATAGTGTGAGTCCTGGTCTGTATTTTGCCTTGTTGCTGCCAAAAATCATAACAGCAAATATTAAAATAGCAGAAAAGCCTGGGGCAGGAATGAGGAAGCAAAGCTGTGTGACATGGACAAGTGAGGAAGGGAGAGGGATGAGGGTCCCTGCACACTCCTTCACTGTTAAGTTGTGTTAAGTTACCTCTAAGCCTCCTATAACATCTGGTTTGCATATTAGAAAAGGCAAAATGCTTCTTTATGTATCACATAAACTCTTAATCCTCAGATAAGAAGACTAAGAGGAGTTCATGCTTTGAATGGTTTAATGCTATTTACTTCCAAAACCAGTTTCTTGTTTGGTGTCTGACACTGTTTGAACTTGTTTGTATATGGTTCATTTTCCACCTCTCTGAGAACAAATCCTGCAGAACTCTGTGTTGCAGAGTTGGAGTTAAAAGATGTGCAGTTATTCCTGTATTTTTTTCCCTGTTCATGACTCCTGTAGTAAGATCTGTCAGTGATAAAGTTGGTTGTTTGCTGGGAACATTGCATTGCACACACAGAGCTTCACATCAAACTGATGCAAACCCAAAACAGGGACCTGAACTTCCACTTCACTTGGAAAATCCATTCTCAGCCACGTGTGGCAGCAGTGTAAGAGCATGGAATGTGTGTGGGTACAATCCTAGCTTAAGTTCAGGCAGTCCTAAAATAAACATAGGCCCAAAAAAATCCGATTTATTCTGGATTGGGTTTAAGGATTCTGTGCAATATGAATTAAAGTGGAAGACATCTGCTTGCAGCCGTGTGCGTGCACTGCTCCACCTCCCAGGGCCTTTGTTAAATCTGCTGCAGATTAAACTTTGTGTATTTAGCACACTGAGATGAAATAGAATAAGTGCGAAGAGGAAATCCTTTCTGCTCTTTGGCAACACATAGCCAAGAGGTAATAGCCCAACCCCTAGTTATTAGTTTGAGGACTGCCCAGTGCCCAGGAAGGTGGTAGATTCACCATCCCTGGAGGTTTTCAGGCTGAGACTGGATGTGGCACTTGGTGCCATGGTCTAGTAACCACGGTAAGGTTGGTCTCAATGATCTTGGAGGTCTCTTCCAACCAGGTTGATTCTATGATTCTATGATGTCCTCCAGGTAGGGTGTTGTCCTGGGGTCAGGTGTGTTTCCCTTCTGGTTTTGACATTGTTGAACTCTCTTTGGTACCAGGTGATGTCATCGTGGACATAAATGGAAGTTGTGTCCTTGGCCATACCCATGCAGATGTTGTGCAGATGTTTCAGCTCGTCCCTGTCAATCAGTATGTGAACATGACTTTGTGTCGTGGTTATCCTCTGCCCGACGACACCGAGGACAACGTGGTGGATATTGTGACAGCTACACCCATCATCAATGGCCCACCAGTGGCCAAGGGAGATGTTTCTGTGCCCAGCCAAGAGCTGATAGCAGGAACAGTTGTGTTGGACCAGAATGGGAAAATGGGGCCCATGTTGGTCAACGGTCGCCTGAACGGCCCTTCCCTGGACACCGCGGAGCAGAGGATCTCCCTTGCCTCCTCAGGGGGCTCTCAGCCAGAGCTGGTCACCATCCCTCTGGTCAAAGGGCCCAAAGGCTTCGGCTTTGCCATCGCAGACAGTCCCACGGGGCAGAAGGTGAAGATGATTTTGGACAGCCAGTGGTGCCAAGGCCTGCAGAAAGGAGATGTCATCAAGGAGATTTGCCATCAGAACGTGCAGAGCTTGACTCATCTGCAGGTGGTGGAGGTGCTCAAGCAGTTCCCAGTAGGAGCAGAGGTGCCACTGCTTATCTTAAGAGGAGGTACAGAAGCAAATTTACAGTTGTCATGTTGGTTATAAACCTATTCAAGTCCCTTTTTAGTGTGATACCTAAATCATGTCCAGTTTGACAGCTAAGTAGCAGCTCATTATGTCTTTGAGCTCTTACCTTCTAAGCTTAATTTATCCCCCTGAGTATCTGGGGTGAGAGCATGTTGCTAGGGTTCTGTTTGGGCTTTTGGGTTGGTTTTTTTTGGGTTTGTTTTTTTTTTCAAAGATGATATGATGAGATGTTTATGCACTGTCTCTGCCAAGTGTCTGGGGAGTGCTGAAGCAAAAAACACCATCTCCAGCATAATGCAAAGCATATGATGGACTGGGTCTTCTGAGGCTCTCCAAATGTATTCCAGCAACTGTAATGGACAGGGGATTGCAGGAGACAGGAAGAAACATCAGCAAAGAGGTGGAGCTGATCACTAGGAATAGCAGAAAAATCCTAAATTACCCTTTGCATATTTATACCTCTTCATTGACTGTGAGCCACAGACCAGAATGATTCTTCTCCCCAGAGCTGTGGTGGGTAGTGTCTCTGCCAGAGGGAGCTGAATGGATTTATCCAGCAGCACATAGCTGTTAGAGCTTCTGTTGTGGCCCTGAGTGTGTCACTTCAGCCAGTGAGACTTAACAAAAACCTCCAGGTCTTTTTCTGTATCAATGCTACAATTCCTTAATCAGCTAAGGAAATAATTAGGTTTCTTTGTAGCAAGTGAAATTCCTCCAGACTAATTCACAAGTCTCCTTATCCCATGCACTGATGGGTGATTTGATTGCCCAGTGTCTTGCAAGAAGAGAAATGGATATTTTACATTCTTGAATTCTAATGGAGACTTTTGTGAAGTGATGGGTTTGGTCTCTTTGCCACTGAAAGAAGAGTGAGTCAGCACTTAGTGTTTTCACCCCTGGAGGTGCTGATGATATTGCTGGAATGGTGTTTAAACTTTTGCTGTTCTACTACTGAAATTACTTTCTGTTCTCTTCAGGTCCACCCTCACCTACTAAATCTGCCAAAGGGGTGAGTATTGGTGATGCACTTAACCTGACAATATCAGAGGTTTGGGGTTGCAAAATAAACTTGTAAATTTGGTCTAACAAACAGGAAAGATTCCTCAGAGGTTTCTGAGCTGTTTGATGGGTGATGGATGTCTCTGTCCTTGTTACTGAGGAACCAATGCAGCAAAGATCTAGTGTGATAATAGGTGTAGTGTTGTTGGTTTGTCATGACTTAAAATGTGACATTGTCCCTTAAGTCCTCTCATTATTTCCTGAAATTGCTGTTTGTGTGTTCACCCTGACCTGCTCTGTAATCTCATTTCCTCTGGATTTTAGTCCCTGAGATAATCTACAAGATGCTTTAGCAAAACCACAACTACTTAGCAGGCACAAATTCTTTGTCTTAAGTAGCTGCTGTCAGAGTTCCCATTAAAAGGGAAACAAAATGCAGTATCTGTTTTGTTCATGGTTAATTATTGAAGTGAAATGGGATTTCTAAAGGAAGTTTTTGGTACTTCTCAGCCCTCACATAGAATTGATGCACTGGTTAGTGTTTCCTTCTGGAAATGCTTATCTTTGGATCCTTATTTTCAGCAAGTCTATGTAGCTGTACATTTCTGGTTTGATACTCATTACTCTTGGAGCTTCAGTCTGTTGGGGCACCTTTAGTATATATTAACCCAGTAAAGAATCCTGGAGCTTAACAAAACACCCTCTGATTTAGTAATGCTGATACTGATGCATATTTTTGCCATGAATCTTCCTGTTATAAATCAAGCTACTCCAACACAGCTGTTCCTTTAAAAATACTTCTCATACAGCACAAATTAGAGCCTTTTAGGAAAACCCCATGACCAGAATGTAGATGTAGCTTCTTTTTTCTATCTTTATCCTGCTGCTGAGTGCTGAGCTCCTGTCCCAGCGGTGGGAGAACACGTTCAGCGCACGACTGTGCTCAATCAGATTTGCAGATCCTTTTCCTTGCAAGCATCCAGCTGCCCACACTGAATAAATCAGGGCAGAAATCCCTGCAGTCCGAGGGCACAGGCCCTGGCAGTGTGGCATGCTAAAAATAACTGGGACTTGGGGCCTGGCATTCTGTTCTCACACACGTGCCGCGGCCCACGGAGCGCTCGATGTGCAGTGGCATTAAGCAGGATGGCAAAATAATTTGCTCTCAAAGGGCAAGTTCTTGTGTTTATAAACATGCAAGAAGTGTCAAACTGCTGGATGGCTCAGGGCAGTTTTCTTCTGCTCTTGGTGAAAGGGCAGATGTAGGTCTGTCCTGCTCGTGCTGCGGTTCAG